CTGTTCCCCAGGCCTCTGTGCTCCAGGATACTGCCAGGGTGCAACTGACTTTCAATGGCCTTTTTCAGAAATTACATTTCCCTGCTGTTACAGTCCCTTGCACATGGTAGGTACTCTATAAACGATTTAATTTTACTCTGTATAGAACCATTTTATCTTTCTTTGTCCTCATTTTATTTTTCCCCAACTTTCAAATATTGTGGTAAAATATATGTAAAATTTGCCAATTGTAAGTGTACAGTTCATTGGCTTTAAGTACATTCACATTGTTGTACAATCCATCACTATTCATCTTCAGAACTTTTTCATCTTCCCAAACAGAAACTCTGTACCCATTAAACAATAACTTCCCATTCCCCTCTCCCCACCCTCTGGTAACTTCTATTCTGTCTCTACGAATTTGACTATTCTGGGCACCACATGTAAGTGAAATCATACAATATTGGTCATTTTGTGTTTGGCTTATCTCAGCATGTTTTCAAGGTTCATCCTTGAAGCACATGTCAAAATTTCCTTCCTTTTTAGGGCTGAATAATATTCCATTCTGTGTATATACATTTTGTTTATCTATTCATCCATTGATGGACATCTGCACTGTTTCATGTTGCTTACGAAAACGGTGTGCAAATATCTGCTTGAGTCCCTGCTTTCAATTATTTTGTTTATATCAGGGTACTTCAAAGAGGTCACGGAAAGATTCGTGTTATCTTTTAATTCTATTTTTCCACAAACTTTTTTTTTCTACATTCAGTATTTTTCTTTAATTTTCTAGTGGACAATTCACATACCTCCTTCACCCTTTCCTTTAAGATAGTGTGACAGTTTTTCATAATAAACTACTTAAAGACAAGCTCTGGTCAGGAATGGAATGAAATAGGAAAAAAAACAAAAACAAAAACAAAATCAAAAAAATTACCGCTGCTTTTAAAAGAACCAACACTTTCACCAATTATATTTGAACAAAACCACACAATATTTGCGTGATACGTGTTTTCAGTGTTTCCTTTGGAGCTGGCTTTCTTCATCATCATGCAGATGACAGAGCTGCAGTCAGTGATGGTTTTCATGCTGGATCGCAGAGATGGACTCAGCTTCACATTATCTGGAGGCCCTGGATATACTACTCTAAGGTCTTGAAATCCCAAAATGTCATGACTCCATCGATGCCAGTAGTGAAAAACTTGCAACAATCCTGCTTGTCCACCTCATAAATAGACGCGTGGGGGGCCGGCCCAGTGGCGCACTGGAGAGTGCGCCGCTTGGGAGCGCGGCGGCGCTCCCGCCGAGGGGTCGGATCCCATGTGAAGAGAGGGTTCGGATCCCATGTGAAGACCGGTTCCCGCTCACTGGCTGAGCGCGGTGCGGGCGCAACACCAAGGGTTGCGATCCCGTTACCGGTCAGTAAAAAAAGACAAAAAGGAAAAAAAAAAAAAAATAGACACGTGAGTGATGCTTTCTGGAGCAGCATCTCCAAGGCTGTATTGCAGCCAACAGTTGTGGCTCTCTTGTCCATGTTGTGGAATCGTTCTGTGCCAGACACGTTGCACTGAATGCTCTGCTTTGGAATGTCTACCTTGGAGACAAAGGTCAAGCAGCCAGGTCATTGTAGTTAATGAGTATGGGACAGCAGTCATGGCCAGCAGCTACAAAACTATTCTTTGAGACAAATGATACACTCAGGAGTGGCAGGACCTCTGTTTTCAGAGTTGAGACCTACACACCTCTTGAGGCATCAGCAACCAACATGGTGCTGTCATGGCTGACCCAGGCCAGGCGGCTCACACTGGCAGAGAAGCTGATCCCATGCATCCAGCCGCCAGTCTCTGACATCAGCTAACCAAAAGGCATCTTTCTGCCCCAGGGTGTACTGGCTGGCTTTCCATCCACTTCTTTAATGTAGGCATAAAACACTCTGCATTTGAAGCCACATGATCCTGCTGCCAGCAAAACTTTGTTGGGATGCCAATCCAAGCCGAGGACTGTGGAGTGCATCTGCTTGTTAACATGCTTACTTACCCACCAGTCATTTTCAGACTCCAAGTAACAAACAGAAATGAGTAGTGCTCCACTTCCCACAGCAAATTTGTTCCCTAAAGGAGACCACTTCACAAAAGTGGCTGCACAATTAATTCTCAGGATCACCTGGGTTGGCTTCCAGACACCATCCTTCTGACTCTGGACATAGGCATTTCGGTCTGCCCGGCAAGTGACGATGCGGGCGCTCTTGAGAGCCCAGTCAATATCTGTGACTATAGGTTGTGCTCCTTGAGTTCATGAGCTTTCACCATTTTTCTCATATATGTGCTCTATCATCATTATTGGGGCTAAGGGCAATCTGGGTACCATCTCTGTTCCAGGCATGACAGGTGATTAGCTCTAGTAAAAACACACAGGGACATTATTCTTAGTGTTTTCAAAGGATAGAAAGCTGGGGTGAGGACAGTTCAGATGGGCTTGGAATGGAGAATTTGCAAACAGGCTGAGGATGGAGGATCGAGGCCCAGAGGGAGTGGCTGACAGATCCCGGCCACCACCATGGCTCCATGAACTGTTTTTTGTTTTTTTTTTTTTTTAAAGATCTTAACCCTTGGGGCCGGCCCGGTGGCGCACTGCTACAGTGCGCCGCTTGGGAGCCCAGCAGCGCTCCTGCCAAGGGTTCGGATCCCACATACAGACCGGTTCCGCTCACTGGCTGAGCGAGGTGCGGGTGCAACACTGAGGGTTGCGATCCTGTTGCCGGTCCCGGTCTGGTACGGGCGCGACACTGAGGGTTGCGATCCGTTGCCGGACACGAAAAAAGACAAAAAGGAAAAAAAAAAAAAAAAGATCTTAACCCTTGACTTGGTGTTGTCAGCACCACACTCACCCAGTGAGCTAACTGGCCATCCCTATATGGGATCCGAACCTGGGGCCTTGGTGTTATCAGCACCGCACTCTCCAGAGTGAGCCACGGGCCGGCCCAGCTCCATGAACTTTTTGAAGTATGCTCATGTACACCCAGAAGTGGACTTGTTGGATCACGTGGTAATTCCATATTTAGCTTTTTTTTTTCTCTTTAGCTTTTTGAGGAAACTCTTGTTTTCCAGTGGCTGCACCATTTGCACCATTTTACACTCCCATCAGTAACACACAAGGGTCCTAATTTTTTCGTTTTTGCGGCTGGCTGGTACGAGGGTCTGAACCCTTGACGTTGGTGTTATCAGCATCACGCTGTAACCAACTGAGCTAACCTGCCAGCCCTCCAATTTCCTCACAGCCTCACCAATGCTTGTTTTCTGTTTTTGTTTGTTTTGATAATAGCCATCCTAGTGGGTGTGAAGTGGTATCACATTGTGGTTTTGATTTGTTTGCATTTTCCTAATGATGTCAAGCAATCCTTCTGTGTGGAATAAATAAATCAAGCTAATTAACAGATCCATCACCCCTAACAATTATTTATAGTGAGAACACTTGAAATTTACTTTAGGCAATTTTGGAATGTACAATATATTAACTATATTCAGCTCACTGTGCAAGAGATCTCAAAAAAACCCAAAACAAAACAAAAACCAACTTGTTGTTCCCGTCAGGGACTTTGTACCCTTTGAGAATAATCTCCCCATTCCCCTCAACCCTCAGCCTCTGTAACCACCATTTTATATGTAAGTGCAGTACTAGTCTTTCTGTGCATCCTCTAATTCCACCCTTGTCGTCACAAAGGACAGAATTTCCTTCTTAAGGCTGAATAATATTCTATTGCGTATACATACAGTTGTCCCCCAATATCCATGAGGGATTGGTTCCAGGACATCCTGAGGATAACAAAATGGGTAAATGCTCAAGTCCCTGATATAAAATGGCATAGTATTGGTATATAACCTATGTACATCCTCCTGTATACCTTAAATCATCTCTAGGTTACTTATAATACCTAATACAAGGTAAATGCTATGTAAATAGTTGTACTGTAGAGAATAACAGGAAAAAAGTCTATGTGTGTTCAGTACACAATTTTTGCATCTATTTTTTTTTTTCAGTACACAATTTTTAAAAAAATATTTTCAATACATGGTTGGTTGAATCCATGGATTCAGAACCCACAGATATGGACAACTGTATCACATTTTCTTTCTATTCATCTGTTGGACACTTCGGTTGATTTCATAACTTGGCTATTGTGAATAGTGCAGCAATGAATATGTGAGTGCAAATATCTGACAAACCGATTTCAAATCTTTTGGTGTGTAAATATCCAGAAGTGGGATTGCTGGATCCCTTTGTCCATTTTGAATCAGGTTGTTTGCTGTTGAGTTCTAGCGTTTTTTAATATATTGTAGAAATTAATCCCTTACCAGATATGAGATTTGCAAATATTTCCTGCCATTCTGTGGGTTGCTTTTTTACTGTTCATAGTGTCCTTTCATGTGCAAAAGTTTTTAATTTTGATGAAATCTAACTTATCTATTTTTTTCTTGTGTTGCTTGTGCTTTTGGTGTCATATTCAAGGAATCATTTTCAAATTCAACATCATGAAGCTTTTCCTCTGTTTTCTTGAGAGTTTTAGTTTTAGCCCTTAGGTTTAAAGTCTTTTATCCACTGTATATGGTATAAGGTAAAGGAAGGCCCAACTTCATTCTTTTGCATGTGGATGTCCAATTTTCCCAGCTCATTTGTTGAAAAGACTGTCCTTTCCCCAGTTGAATGGTTTTGACACCACTGTCAAATATCATTTGATCATGTATGGGAGGGTTTACTTCTGGGCTCCTTATTTATGCCCAACTTTTTATTCTGAAATATCTTAAACCACATGCCACATGGGGGGATATTCTTCAAATAAAGTTACCCTGTGAATGTAGTTTCCCCAGCTTTGCCCCCAGTGGAAGGACTGAAAGATCTAGAGAAGTCATTTGAACACGAAGCTTCTTTTTCCATGTTTGATGGAGCTCATCCCCTTCATCTATCTTTTGTCTTGCCTGGAACTGTGATGGAATCAAATAAAACTAGTTTGACAATGATTAAACAAAATTCTTTAATAAAATTTATAAAAATGCATCTTTGAGAATAATTTTCTCAGCTTGAATTGTTTTCCTTTTCCACCCCCAAAGACAATACAAAATTCTCAGCACGCCCACACATAAACACTCAAAACTACATGACATTCTCTACAAACTGCAGAAAAATTAAGACAATTCCAAGAAGTGATTGCAAAGATGATTTTTTTTCCTTCTAAGAACAGCTGACAGACAGTAAAGAAATTTCTGTGGTTGCCAAAAAAAATTGGGGCTGGCTGGTTAGTTCAGTTGGTTAGAATGTGGTGCTGATAACAGCAAGGCACAGGGTTCACCCCCTATATGGGCTGGCTGCCAAAAAAAAAAAAGAGAGAGAGAGCAAGAAAAAAGGTTGAAATTTGCACTTTGAATTTTAAAAGATCCAAATCAAGGTCCTCTTCACTTCCACCTCCCCTTGCTTAACACCTTTTTAGGGCAGTTTTCTTCCTGCTCCTAAGAAAAAACTTGGAATTTCTAATATTCTCAATTTTCTACGTACACTTGGAATTGTGAAAATGTGTTCAGATCAGCCAGCATTTACTACAGACATCATCAGAGGCAGGCACTTGGGGACTTTGGGGCTTCAGGTACAAACCATGGTATAAGGATCTTGGGTAGGAAACACATATTGAGATTCCTCCATTCTTCCAGAACTTTCAGAGATGAGGTTAGACCCACCTCTACCATCCTCAGCATCAGTTTGCTAAATTCCCAGGCTCAATGGCACGCTCTCCCAGACCAATTTTCATGTTTCCCCTCTGTCTTTGGCTGCAGCACTTTAGGCACTAGTCTAAGTCTTGGAATATATCATTCTTCTGTTTTGGTGATAAACAAACATTAAAAATTAAGTGGCACCTGAAAACTCACATTTTCTGGTCAAGTCTCCCTGTGTCGAAATAAAGCACCCTATAATGGACTTCACATAACAAACACTTACTCAGAACAAGCAAATGGATAGATGCCCTTTGTAAGTTAGTACTCAGGAGATGAAAATGAAAAAGGAAAACCATGAAAGGTCTTTGGAGTATACAATATGCAGTCAGGGTATGGCCAGACACAAGCCTCTTACCCTACAAGGGCCCAGTGATTTTTGCATCAGAGAATCCCATCTGGGGCAAAGCAATAGAATTCAGGAGTAAGAGTGGATATTAGAGCATGGGACACCAGTACAGTGATGGGGGTTGGGGAGAGAAGCACACAAAGTAAAAGAAAAAAAAAATTAATATACCTAAAACAACAGGACTAAGGCCACTGACTCCTCCCCTTCCTTTAAAACATGAAACAAAATCCCTAAAGGAAACCTGCAAGTTGCTAGCAGAACCTTCTGAGGCTGAAGTTGTTCTTTTGAAATATTAAAATTTGGAGATTTTTTGGACATCATCACCATGGAAAGAGTGATGGAATAAAAAAACCACTCGAGTAAGTCAATACCTTTCTAACACACAGAGAGCCTTAAAATGGAAATCAGAACTATTCTAACTGTATCACTGATGAGTCTTTTTCCCAGAAACTCATCAGAAGGGAAGGGAGCTGAAAACCACCAGCAACATTATGTCCGTATTTCTCACTGTGCGGGTCTAGGGACCCATCTCTCGAGTCCCCTAGTCATCCTCGCCACCTCCGTACATATCTGCCAGCTTCTTGAAGCGATTGCCCCATTCATTCAGGTAGTCATAGTTCTGGTCTTGGTCTGACTCTGAAGAGTTCAGGGAGCTCAGACTAGCAGCTTCGGAACCACTTCCTTCATAGTCAAACACGAGCAGAGAGTCATAAGGGGGAGCCGTGGGGTCACTATCAGCTGCCTTCAGATTCTAAAGAAGGGGAACAACAGGATCTTTCAGTGAAAGGAACAGCACACCTGTCATCTGAGGCAAGATGTCTTCTCTTGGTGCCTCAAGCAACAGGTAAGGCATGACAATTAACAGAGCAATTAACACCAACATGGTACATTTATACAAACCAGTATGGAAAGATGGATATGACATATTGCTGTGGAAAGAGAAAGTTACAGGAAAATATGCAGAATGCTTTCCCCCTAAACCAAAACAGTATATTATATGGAGGCTGGGGAGATACAGGCACCTACCAATCGGGATAGGGCCCCCACAAATCAGGAAGAACAGAGGCTGAAAACAATGAGGACAGTCATACCGGTGCACACAGGCTACATTTCAGCCTGCAAAGTTCTGGAAGGATAAGAGCCAAACTGTTAACACTTAACTCTGTGGAGTAGGGTTAGGAGAACTGACTTGCATTTTTTTTCTTTATATACATTTTCATAATCTATATTTTGAAAATAGCAAACATACTGTTTAGTTACAAAAATAAAAATTTTTTATTTTAAACATTACTTATTTTTTTGGCAGCTGGCCAGTACTGGAAACTGAACTGGCCAGTCTAAACATACAACTACAGGGGCTGGCCGGTTAGCTCAGTTGGTTAGAGCACAGCCTTGTCACACCAAGGTCACAGGTGCAGATTCCAAAACCAGCCAGCCGTCAAAAAACAAACAAAACAAAATAAAAAAACTACAAATAATGATGACTTGCAAATGAATGTGAATGGAGGAAAGAACTTCAATCCAGATGTATCTAAAAGGGTGGTTAAACTGGTCCTTCCTGTTCCTTATTTTTCTCTGAGGATCCAGTGGCTAGAATAGATGGACTGTTGTGCCTTATGGAATCCTGGGTGAAAATAACTCCCACAGAAGGCTAAAGCAAAACCAGCCCCCACCATGAAGACTTGCTGGGGGCCACTGGACCATCAGACAAACCTGAAAATCATTCCAGTAACTGAGTAAGTGATTACATAACATAGTCTAAGGAAATAGATCCTGTCGAACTATTCCCTTACTGGATTATTTCTCCATCCCCGCTCCCAGTTCTTTCTCACCTTACCCTAAGCTAATTACTTTAAAGCCTTATTATTCTCCCTTGCAGGTAAAAACAACCTTCTGACAGTTTTGGCCAATAACATGTTGGACAAACTCCATTCTTAAATAAAAAGACAGTTTGCTAGAAGAAAGATTTTTGCCCTCTGCTCTGCCCTTACCACTTGTTGGTGACTGGAATGCAGACCCAAGGCCTGGAAGTGTGGCAGCCATCTTGTGATCATAAAGCAACATGCATGAGAACAAGACCTACATGCTAAGGTGGTGCAGCAGAAAGGTTGAACACCCTGATATACCAGCCTAGACTGCTTACCCCAGCCTTCTATTTGCATAAGGTAAATCTACTCCTATCTGTTTAAGCATCTCGTATTTAGAGCTGAATGCATTTCTGAAATACACAATATGGACTTTATTTTTCTGGCCCTCGGGTAGACTTGTGATATACATATAACATTATATCCCAACCAGCAGTAGTGAAACTAAACTGAATTTACTTTGAATCTCTTTAGTTTCATCTCTAGATCTACTAAATCCTTTCAAGCAATTCTTGGTTTTGCCACAGGGACTTTGCAAATTCACTAAGACCAATTCCAAGTGCCATTGGTTCTGAAATTCAAATGAGATATAAATAAAAAATAGGGCTCAGGGATTGAGCAAGTTGAAAATGTGAAAAAGGAAAGAATTTAAAGGCTCTTTCTCATTTTTGACAGAATTGCTCCTTTCTAAGTTTAGAGATGAGCTGTACCTTGGCTTCTGACTTAGTTTACTTACTTCATCAATAAAATTTCCAATTTCATCAGGATTGGCAGGGCGGGGACGATACTGGGGCATACTCAGGAGGGTTGGTGCTACATCATTGCGAGTCACTTCAGGCCGGGCATCCAGTCCCCTGTGCAACTGGCTCAAGTCAAAGTCCTTTGGAGAAAAAGGTCAAAGTTCAACAGAGTAAAAAGAAACAGTCATATATGCACAGCTATATTTGGTTTGTACATTATGGTATTGGATAATGCCTTAACTGCAACTGTATAATATTTACCAGCACCTGTCCAATTTAATAAGAAATGACAGTTTTCACATTAACAGTCTCCCAAATAGCACTGGATGAAAATATAGCCCAAAATGATGACTAGCACTATGGGTGCAGACACAAGACTGTTGTACCTTGTTATCTTTTTCATAGGACATAATAATTAAATTATTATTCAGCAAATATTCACTCCCTCCCCACCCTAACCTCTGTGAGAAGACTATACATCCATTTTTAAATTGTTAAATTTAAAATGTTTATTTTTTAGTTATAATGGCTAGGAATATAAATCCAGTATGTTGGGCTTTGCTATGTTACCTTGCTTTAGCCAATGGGGCATTAACACATGTGACATAGGCAGCTGAACCCCAGCCAGCCTACACAATCTTGTGAGCCTAGCTGAGATTAGTAATTGCCCCAGCTAACCCATGAGAAGGACATGTATGTTGTATGCCACTAAGATTCTGGAGTTATTTGTTATATAACATTACTGTGATAATTGCTCATTGATACGATGTATCTCATATCCCCCAACTAGACTTATAAGTGCTTTGAAATCTTGAATCTCTGTACACCCTATCCCTCCCTCCCCAATATGTTCTATACAGCAAGCAATGAAATTCTTATCAGTGGCTCTTCTAGACCACAGAGCTCAGCAAATGTGCCTCACTGCATGAGTCAAAAGCAGTGCTCTGTGATGGGCCCCATGGTTCCCTTTCTATATGTAGACTCTCTAAGATTCTCAAAATTTCCCTGGAAAACTTCAGGGTAAGTGTGAGACTGTGAACATATCTTGCTCCATCTCCAAGCCCTTACTTCTTGCTATGTCTTTTATATGAATTCTGCCCACAAAAATTATACAGTAACAAGGGGTAAGGTAGTTAGAACAATAGGTAGAAACAGCTGACTATATAGGAGTAACTTAATGATTAAGTGCTAGCATGGCAACAGCCAGTCCAGCTACCTGTATCACAAGACCACCAAAGATAGTGATCACTGTCATAAGACACTTGGAGCTAAAGACGTCAGCTTGTTCTTATCTAGTAATTGATTCCCGGCTTTAGTGGCTTTGTATGAACTGCCTATAACTTGGGCTCAACCAGGATGTGGCTCAGAGAAACCTTGTCTACACCTCTGGGTTGTCACCTATCAGATCCATCATCCTGTAAGTAAATTACCCTTTTAGTAAAATTATTTGCCTTACTGCCTGTAAATGCCTGCTTTGTTTCTTGGTCTTAAGATACCTTCTCAGTTTGTTGGGCACTTTATTTCTGGCCAACCTTCAAATAGCAAGACAAGTTAAGATCATCTCCAAGATCAGGGGCTAGAGATTTTACATCTACAAAAAGCAAAACACATGGGCTGACCCCATGGCTCACTCGGGAGAGTGTGGCGCTGGGAGCGCCGAGGCCGTGGGTTCGGATCCTATATAGGGATGGCCGGTGTGCTCACCAGGTGCGTGCGGTGTGGGCGACACCAAGCCAAGGGTTGCAATCCCCGTACACACACACACACACACCACACACACACACCACACACACACCACACACACACACACACACACACACACGCAAAAGCAAAATACAGTTTGGTCTAACTAAAAATCAAGAAGAACAAAATACTAAAATAGATCAGTTGTTCTATGGCAGAGATAATTTGATTGAAGTTCATGTCCTGAGAACAGCAATGAAGAACGCAGGCTCTGAAGTTCTACTGCTTCCTTGCTGTGTGACTCTGGGCAAGTTACTAAACTGCTCTGAGCTTCAGTTCACTCATCTGGGTGAAGAACAGTAAGTGTTCAATAAATGTTAGCTAGGTTGGTGATGGTGATCAATATCAACGTCTATTTTCATGTGTAAAGCCTTAAAAAACACAAGCACAGAGGGACACAAAGCTATTTCCAATGTCTGCCTTCTCCTAATCATTGCTTCTTCCAAATGAAGAGATCACCATTGAGCTACCACAGTTTAAAAAACCCACCTGGTCCTCTTCTCCACCTCCTTCTTCATCATAGTAATAAACGTTGTCCCGGGTGTCATCTTCTGGGGGCAGTAAGGGCTCTTTGACCACCCCTCTCCTCCGAAGAAACAGCAGGAGCAGCAGAATCAGGACTGGAGTGGGAGAGGGGGAAAGCATGAGAGTGATGAGTGCCACAGGTGAAGATGGCCAGAAGCAGCAGCTGTCACAGAGCACCATCGCCTTGCATGCCAGACAGGTGGCTGGTAGACAGCTACTGGCTGCCTTTAAAACACTTGCAAATGTCAGTCCACATGATGGTGCTCACATCTCTGAAGTTAATGTGTGGTACGACACAATGGACGGTAATATGTGACTATAAGTGTGGTCTTTAACAAGGATCTCAAACCAATCATTGATAGTGTTCCAGGCAGAGGAAACCGTATGGGCAAAGGCCCTGAGGCAGGAGCATGTTCGGTGTGATTGAGGAAACATGAGGAGGCCAGCATGGCTGGAGCAGGGGGAGCGGGAGTGGAAGAAAGAAGCAGAGAGGAGGTCAGAGGCGCCACAGCAGTGTCTAGGCCACTGTAAGGTCTTTGGCTTTGATTCTGAGTGAGTTGGAGCCATTGAAGGTTTGTGAGCAGGGCTGCTGGGTCAGCCTAAATGTGACTGATACATGCATATTACTGTTAATGTTAATCAGTTATGGAGGGCTGGGACACAAGACAAAAAAATCACCTGCTGTGTTCTTTATCTTAAAAAGATAAAATCATGCAAGTAAGCCTTAAAATCTGTTTGATTTCCAGGCCTTAAGATCAGGGTTCATCTTACCCTGAGATTATTTCTAGGGTATATACAATTAACACTTTACTTAAAAAAAAAAAAAATTGTATTACTCATTGCAAATGAAAAGAATAGGATTCTGTGTGTTTTCATTATAAGTATGTGTGCCCAAGTACCCATATGTTACATCTCAGTAAAGCATTATCATACCAAAACAGGAGGTTGCATAAACTTGGGGGAGAGATTTCTCAGACATACCTAACCTGCTTACTGTTTCTGAACATCAGAAAGATGCCAGAGACCTTCTCCAGATAAACAACATAACTCCCTCATCCACGATTCATGACAAAAACACTGTGCATTTGCTGTGTGTACCGAGGCCTGTCGCTGCAGTGGGGACACAGCACTGAGCAAGACAATGTGGGCTATGAACTGTCCCCATCCATGCAGAGCTTGGAGCCAAAGGTTTCCAAATGCGCACTTCTCATCAGCTTACTGAAACCCCTATGTCAGACACAAAGCCTGGCAGAGAGTACGCAATCCAATATTGGTGAAAACCATGAAAACCTTAAGACCTCCTGGTATATTTTTGCCCTTAAGAAACAAGAACTAGGGGCTGGATGGTTATCTCAGTTGGTTATAACGCAGTGCTGATAATACCAAGGTCTAGGGTTTAATCCCTGTACTGGCCAACTGCCAGAAAGAAAAAAACAAAAAAGAAACAAGAACTTGGACATCTAAATGCAGGCATGCTGCTTCTCTAAATGTTCTACATGGGAATCCCCCACCCCCAGTGTCTAATGAAATATACCCATAATCCTATTTTTAAAACATATATTGTAAGTATAACTACAATTGTTAAGATTCTCAGGATGAATGTTCTAGTCAGTAACCACTACCCCAAAAGCGCATCAGCCCATTAAAATATAATTTGACTAGAAAGAGGGCAGGCAGGGCTAGTGTTACCACACCCAAGACAATGACAGAGGACCTAATGTCACGGTGGCAATAAAGCCATGTAAAGCCTAGAGGAACAAAAGTCCAGAAAGCTCAGTGAATTCTCAACAGCACGATCCTCTTCAACTTTGGGAGCACATGGGCAGCAGAGGGCAGGAGCAGCAGGATCAATAGCACCTGTGCATGAGCTAGATGGAAAGCCCCAGATTTGGTTCCACTGCTCCCTTTCAGAATCTTTTCCCACTCCAGCCAGATGGGTTTGCTCTCTGCCCTACACAGAGTCCACTCAAGCCTCCCTCTGTGCCTTTTCTAGTGCGGGAACCTTCCCAAATGCCCACCTGCCTGTCATAATTCCACCAGCCAGTGAGGTCCAACCACCTACACCTTCCATGAAACCTTCCTTGGGACTCAATTAATAGCCCAAGGCATTTACTGCAAAGGCATTTACAACTTGGACAACCCCTTCCAGTTCCTAATTACATACTATCTTTGAAGGTTTTCTAATGGACTTGCCATTGCTTGCCTTTAGAGCCATAAGAGCATTTGTGTCAACCCGAGGGCTCACTCTCGGTGGGCTACAGTAACACCAGTTTTAGGGAATATGGCAGAAACTGCCAATTTTTCCCCAGCATACTTTTTCTCCTTCATCCTTTCAGTAATTGATACTCAGTGCTTAATCCACACTCCATCCCCACCCCCTGCCAAGTTTTAATGGGGCACATGGTCAACCAGTTAGGGTGTATCCAGGCTCCCTCAGTTAGGTGTGGCTGCCACTTCTGCCATCAGCCCCCCTCCAGGATGGAATGTGGAGGAGGTGGTGGTGAGCCGGCGTTGACCATGCTGATGAGGATGGTGCCTCAAGGCTTTGCTACTCTGTGTGTGGTCCAAGACCTGCAACATCAGCATCACCTGGGAGCTGGCTAGAAACTCAGAGTCTGAGGCCCATGCCAGACCCCCTGAATCAGAATTTCCGTTTTACCAGAAGGCACAGGTGATTTCTATGCACTCGAACTTGAGAAGCACTGACCTAAAGGATGAAAAGAAATGAAATAGGAGGAAACTGGGTCCCCTGTTTGATTTCATGAAACAGGACTGCCTTCCAGTCTTGGATCACTTCCCTCTGAAATGTTCAGTAAGAGACAAACCTCTATTTTATTTAAGCCACCATACTTGCGAGTTTCCTTCTTATATCAGTTTAACCTGTACCCTAACTAATGCAAGAACCAAAAACATTTCTAGGTAATCCACCTCCCCATTTTAGAAGCCCAAGGCAGATGTACTTACTTAGCAAAGCCAGGATTCCTCCAAGAATCCCCAGAATGGCAGAAACTTGCAATCCTGCTTCAACATACTGTGCCCTCATACAGTTGTTGACGGCCCCTTCACAGTCACACACAAGGACCTCTAAAGTGGTCACCTGGTCTTTGTTCTGGTTATCCGTGAGCTTGAGATTGATTTTGTAGTCACCCAACTCTAAAGTTTTCTTTGGCTTCAAAATGAGAGACTCTTGGGCTGGGGAAAGCAATAAAAATAAATGATGGAACCAAGGGAGGAAAAAAAGCTCATTCTAGAATAAAATTGTCAGAGAACTACAGACATTTCAAAGCTGAGTAGAGAAAACGGAGCTGCTTGGGTTTTAGATTACCGGGTGGTATGTTACAAAGTTAGAAACCAGGAAAGGAAAGAAAACTTTGGTGCAATGCCTCAAAGGTAGAAAGGACAAGGAAACAAATACCAAAGGAAAGAGGTGGCAGCTGGAAGATGAGGAGGGAAATTTAGAAGTGGGGCCAAGGAGGAAGGAGAAGTATGTATGGCAGTCAGAACAAAGTTTCCCAAATAAAGCGCAGGTACCTACCTGCGTCACTATACTCAATGGTCCAGTTGACACTTGCCCCATGTGTCAGTTCTGCTGTGAAGGGAGAAGTATTGGGGGGAAGATCTGGATCAATGATGTTTATGATATGAGGCTGTGGATTCCTCTGGCAGAAGTCCATATTTCGAGGTTCTGGTACAGGGCCATTGTCATTCACATCGGAGAGGATCAGGAGAAGCGTTCCCGTTCCAGTAGCGACTGGAGAACCTAAGAGAAAATACAGAGGAAATGGCAGCTCAGGAACACGAATGAATCCCCACTGCCTCCCACCAGACCACATCCAAATCTTGTCCTGGCACTTCAGTGGTCCCTTCCCAGACACCCCCCTACCCACCAGGCACCTCCTGTCCCACCGATCCCAGTTGGGCAGGCCTCTGACCGTCTTAAGCGGACAAGCTTATTTCCCATTTTGATAATAATTATTCAGTTATTCTTCACACCCGCCTTCCTCTTTTTCACATAACTTTATTGATTCATTAAATTCTAACTACTCTAAGAAGTCGTCATGCCTGTCCTCCCTCCACCCCCCACTACTACTACCTCTTCTGCACTTCCATGCCATCAGAGGGATTATCAGAGGGTTGAGCGTTTTTAAATTTCTGCAACTTGCTTTTCCAAATAGAGTTGGAAGTTCATATACACTTCTGTTTGCATTTCTTTTACATCCTGACACAGCACCAAGCATATGATAGTAGGAAAAACAGAAACTGAGGAACCATTGTCATCAATATTAGTACATGATAGGGAAAACAACAACAGCAGACCTATACACAGTTATGCCTAGATGGCAAGAGTGTGATTTTTTAAAAATCTTTTCCTTTTTTTGGGTGACTGGCTGGTAAGGGGATCCGAACCTAAAATCTTTTTATTGAGAGAATTTTTTCTTAGTAATGAGCATATGTCACTTAAAATGAACTTTTTAAAAAAATCATTTCTAATGACCTAATAGATTTTCTGAAGAAACTGCATGCTCCTCTTAGGTCTTACATTAAAAGGCATGCACAATCAAATAACACTTGAAGGAATCAGTACCACCATACCTTAGCTATGATTATTTAGGTCAGGGGGTCAGGTCAGCAAACTAAGGCCTGCTGGCCAAATTAGGAACATAGCTATGCTCATTTCTTTACAGACTATGGCTGCTTCCAGGTTACAATGGCAACAGAGCCTAAAGTGTTTATTCCCTGGTCCTTTACCAACCCTTGGTTTGGGTGCCATTTACCTCAACTTACTTCCAGGCCAGGCCAGGGAATCTCCATGCAGCCAGAGATAGCTGGCCAGTACAGCACTACAGGCTGAAGCAATGGGCTAGCTCTCCCTTTCTGCAAAGGTGACCTACAAAGGGAACCCCACTACGGCCTCACTTGCCTTGCCCTCTGTTTTCCACATTGTCAAAGATGGAATTACTACCCCAGGAGGTTTGGGGGTGAGAGACAGGGAAGAGAATTAACCATGGGAACCTAGTGATTCTGCTCCTGAACATCTGTCCGAGGGAAATACTTATGCAGAAAGGCATGTACCAGGCTGTTTACTCACCATTCGTGGAAATAATAATTGAAAACAACCTGTGTTCTTTAATATATGAATGATTAAATTATGCTATATCCAGGTAACATTCTTATAAAAAGAGATCTATGACGTGCCTTGGTAGATCTCTATGTCTTAAAGACATTGTCAAGTGAAAAAAATTTTTAAATTTTAAAACAATATGAATAAGACAATGGTTTTTATAATAAAACCAAATAAACAGAAAAGACCATTATAAACCAGATGATGGTTTTATAATAAACTATATTTCTATATGTATATAAATGTATCCAAATACACAGAAAGTCTGGACGGACCTGCACTTGACATGATGATGATGGTGACGGTAATAAAAATAATGATAGCCCTTATGTAGCCTGTACTATGTGGCAGATGCTATTCTAGGCATGTTTACACAAATTAACTCATTTATTCCAGATGGGGTATTATCCTTTTGTCAGATAAAGGAATTAAGGGACATAAAAATTAAGTAGTACCTCCAAGGTCACACAGGTATTTAGCTTTGCACCTGGGATCTGAACCCAGGCAGTCTGGCTCCCATGGGGAAAGAGCAGGGTTCAGGTATCAAGAGGGAGGGGTGAAAAGGAACTTCTGCTGGACCCAAATTATTTGAATTTTTGACAGTGAGAATTCTTTCATTTAGAATGAAGGAAAAATGAACTCATGCCTCCAAAAGAAGGGTAGGAGAAAGAAAGCCAGGTAGCTGGGAGGGTAAAGCAGCAGCGGCCTGGACAGGGCTCCCTACCGTTGTCGGTGGCTATGATGAGGGCCGTGTATGTGCTGTTCTTCACATGCTCAACATCCTCTCTGTCCAGCTCAGCCCGAGTAGAAATGGCACCAGTGTCTGGATTAATCTCCAGCCAGTTGGCAGTGTCCCTCCAAATCCGATACCTGAAAAGGCACAATCTCTGGTTTAGAAAGGAATGGCAAATAGCACATAAATGAAGAAGGCTAAGGTTCCTCTTTATTTATAGCTATTTCCAACGTTTTTATTAAGTAACTGATCCATTGAATCACTGCTTTACAGATTCATAGACTGATTTCTTAATTGGGTGTCCAACGTTTTTATTTTGAAAATTATCCACTCTACAGAAAAGCTGCCAGAACAGTCTGATGACCTTCCTTGTACCCGTCACCTTGGTTTACTCATTGTTAATATTTTGTCGCATTTGCTTTCTGTAGATATTGACACACACATACATAATATTTTGTTTTGGTGAACCATTTGAGAATAAGCTACAGCTATTATGTTCTTTTACTCATAAATATTTCAATGTATTATCTCCTAAGAACAAAGGCATTCTCTTATGTAAACACAATTTGATTTTCAATTTCAGGAAATAAAACTTTTATAGAATATTATTACGGGTATTGAATATATGGTACACATTGAAATTTTAGGGGCTGGCCGGTTAGCTCAGTTGGTTAGAGTGTGGCTTTATAATACCAAGGTCAAGGCTTTGGTTCCCTATACCGACCAACTGCCCCCCAAAAGAAAGAAATTGTTAATTTCCCCCAAAATGTCCTTCACAGCAATCTCACACCCTTCCCAATTCAGGATCCAATCCAGGATCATGCATGGCATTTAACTGGCATATCTCTTTAGTTTCCACTAATTTAGAACCATTCCTTAGCTTTTCTTTTTCGACACTGACATTTTTGAAATGTGCGGGCCAGTTGTTTTGTAGACTGCTCCTCAATTTGGTTTGGTCTGATTGTTCCCTAATAATTAGATTAAGGTTATCCATTTTGTGTGTGGGGGGGGGAGGGTGTTGGCTACAAGAATGCTATACAGGTTATGCTGTATCCTTCTCAGTGTATCTCATTAAGAGCCACAGGATGTCTGCCTGTTCTTGTACTGGTGATGTTAACTTTGATCACTTGGATAAGAGAAAGGCCACCAGATTTCTTCACAATAACGTAGCTTTCTCTTGTTTGAAATTAATCCAGAATCTGAGGGGAGATAATTTGAGAGTATCCTCTTCACCAACTTTCACCCACTGGATTTAGAATCTGTGGGTAAATCTTGCCCAAAGCAAAGAGTACTATGATCCTTATTTATTTTTAAAAGCAGACTCCTCCAGATGAGCTACCCCTCCCCCAGAGAGTAGTAGTTCTCCAGTGGTGGCACTATGCCATGCCCTCTCCTGCCATGAACATTTGGAGATCTGACACACTGACTTCTGGGTGGGCTATACTATTGGCATTTAATGCTAAGTGTCAGGGAGGCTAAAAACACCTTCCAGTCTTACAGAGTCAAGAGAATCCTGTTAAGCAACATGTTATGAGAAGTTAATCAGAGATTCATTATTAGAAGAAACTTCTTAGGGTCGGCCTGTGGCTCACTCGGGAGAGTGCGGTGCTGCTAACACCAAAGCCACGGGTTCGGATCCTACATAGGGATGGCCGGTTTGCTCACTGGCTGAGCATGGTGCTGACAACATCAAGTCAAGTGTTAAGATCCCCTTACCAGTTATCTTTAAAAAAAAAAAAAAAAAAAAATTTTTTTTTAAAAAAAAAAAAAAAAAAAAATTTTTTTTTAAAAAAAAAAAAAAAAAAAAATTTTTTTTTAAAAAAAAAAAAAAAAAAAAATTTTTTTTTAAAAAAAAAAAAAAAAAAAAATTTTTTTTTAAAAAAAAAAAAAAAAAAAAATTTTTTTTTAAAAAAAAAAAAAAAAAAAAATTTTTTTTAAAAAAAAAAAAAAAAAAAAAAAAAAAAACTTCTTATTAGAAGTCAATCAGAGGAAATAAGGGCATGAAAAACAGAGATATACTGCCCAGTTACCTATCAAGGTCATAGAAAGGCTCAGAAAGTGAAGCTAAGAAATCAAAGGAGAAAGGTGCTCTGGAAACCTGTGGGTTTGTTCTTGCTTCCTTAGATGTGCAAAGCGATGAATTACATTAGCGGTCTTCATTCCAGGAGAAACGGCCACTGCAAACACTCTTAAAACCTGGTGCTCTCGCCCAAAGAAATGCTTTCAACTACCTATTGCAGCATTGCAAGTTATCAACCCAGCCTGGAAACCATATAAAAATCCAAGTCTTCATTTCATCACTGAACAAAATCCTATCATCTGTAGCTTTTCACTATACTTTTATTTATTTATTTATTTATTTAAAGATGACCAGTAAGGGGATCCTAACCCCTGGCTTAGTGTTGTCAGCACCACGCTCTCCCAAGTGAGCCAACTGGCCATCCCTACATAGGGATCTGAACCCACGGCCTTGGTGTTATCAGCACCACACTCTCCCAAGTGAGCCATGGGCTGGCCCTCTACTGCTTTTTAAAATTCAACTAAAAATACATCTTACCAGGCTTTACAGTATGGACCACCAAGAAGGATCACCTGCATGATGAGCAGTAGCACATTAACTACATGTACAAAATTAGAATATTTTAAAGCAAATGTTGTGATTAGTGGGTTTCAGCATCTACGGCTGTGATTCACATTATAGAGGTGCCTTCAAGTTTAAAAGAGAAGAAATAGAAAGCTACTTACAGCACAGTACCATGTGTGTAAATTGAAATCACTTTCCTACTACGCCACAAGAACTCAAAAAGAAGAAGCACATTAGACCTAGAACAGCTGACCATGGAGGGCAGGGCAAAGGCACAGGGAACAGAGATAAAAGGGAATAAAAAAAGAAACCAAACAAGAGAAGGGTCTTGCACAGACCAATAATGATAAAATGCCATAAACTAAATGATATATATAAAATATATACATAAAAATACCCAACGGCTGCAAGTCAGCTGAAAACGCTTCACTTACGTTATCTTCTGCTCCTTAAACGTGTCTGGTTCCCGAGCAGTGTAGGACGTGATTTCCAGGCCCACGCCAAAGTCTTCGGGCACTTCCACTCTTTTTTCAGGAGGCAAGAAGATGGGGGCTTCATTCACGTCCACCACATCCACAGTGACGGTGGCTGTGGAGGTGGGGAGAGAGACCACAAAGGGATCTGTGTTCGTCACTGCCACATGCAATATATACTGCTGCTTGACCTCAAAATCCAAGCCCTAGAGAGCCAGAAAAATGAGATTTAAAAAAAAAAAATTATGTTAGTGAAAAAAAACCATTAAATTTTTAACTACTGCTTTGGTTGGTAATATACCAGTGGTTCTCAAATCTGCCTGCTCACTTGCTCAAGAGGAAGTCAAAGCTCTGGGGCAATTCCAGGGATCAATTAACTCTAACTTCAGCAAGCAACTCACTCAACTTCTTAGTTTTCAAGTTTCTAAGACATTTTTCAAAAACAGCCATATTTGCCCCACTTCTAAAATAATCCAGCAAAATAGCAGAGACCCATAAACCATTTTCCCTCTCATTTGCAGAATGGAAAGGTGGCTGGGGGGGTGGGGGGGATGTTTCTGGGAAAGAGCCTATTAAAGCAGACAGCAGTTTGTCTTCAATTTCAGGATGTTGTGTAGAAGCTTCCTGATGTCTCACATGAGCCTTAAAAGTCACTGCAGACCCCATGCTATCTACCAGAATCTGGGAAAGCCACCCTACCCCGACCCTACCAGTGCTAATCTACTTCTGAGAAGATACCAGGGGACAAGGGACTGGCCAACTGCTGGGGTGGGGTTCTGCATCTAGCCAGGCGCCATACAAACCTTAGCTGTTTTCAAAATGCCTTCGTTGGTTACTGGGTCTGTGGTGACAACAAATTGCCCCTCGTTGTCATTTAATATGGTATACACAGCCTCCCATGCTGGGGTGTTGGGGGCATCCACATCAGTCACTCTGAGCCTGGTGATTACGGCATCTGCCTCATTCTCAAGCACCTCACCCACATACTGGAGAGCAAAAGCAAAGATGAGTCACTTATGACACACTGAGACCAACAGTGGAGCTAGGTCCCAGGGGGGGTACGGGAATCCTTTCGGAGCCCAAGCTTCAAGGACAAGATGTTACAAACAGAGGTCAGGCAATGCACACCAGTCTTGGAGAAGTGCCTGCTCTGTGAGCAGGCCCAACTTCATGTCGGGGACAAGCTAATACTCATGAGTATCTTCCTTCATGAGTGCCTGAAGTAGCTTTCCAAGTCCCTGGCCACCCAAGGCCCTCAGTAAACACTGGCCCAGTTGCTGACAGGCTAGTTGATGACTAACTGGTGATGTTAGTCCAAGTATAAGACACTGTGGTATAGTCACCATTTGTGCTGCTCCCAACCCACCTCCATCCATTCTCTATCAGTGATCTTCATAAAATGGAAGTCTGGTCATTACAATCCTCTGCTTAAAACCCTTTGACGATATCCCCTTATGTTCAGGATAAATTCTAAAATTCGTACCTGAGCCTACAATGTCTGGTAGGATCTGCCTAATTTGGTTCACGACACCTGAGTCACAATGGCTGTTTTTCAGTTCTTCCTGGGCATCAGCTTTCCCCTTCATTCAGAACATTTTGCACATGCTAATCCCTCTGTGTAGAATGCTTTTCCACCTCTGCCTGACCTTCTTTCAAGTCTTTCTATAAATGTCTCTCTGTTGTTATACTTAGGATGGCAGATACTGCTAAATTATCTACTAAATATCCATTCTCCCCTTCCTCAGTAACTATATTGGTGGCAGCAATGTGCCAGCTAAAATACTACATTTCCCAGTCTCCCTTGCAGATGGCAGTTGCCAATGGGATGTAAGCAAAACTTGTAGAATGGTTGTCATAAAAACATCTTTGATAAGAGCACTTGACTCAGCAGCAATGCCTTGGCCTTGCTCCCTTGCCCTTCACCTCTTCTGGAGCGTAGACATGACTGGCTGGAGCTCCAGCAGCAATCTTGGGCCACAAGGTGACTTTGAGAATAGAAGCCTTACACTAAGGATGGTGGAACAGCAAAACAAGGGAGGCTTGGTCTTTAGTGACAGGGCAGAGCATCTACCTCTGGGATTTTTCGTGACACAAGAGAAAAGTCAACCCTATTTGTTTAAACCACAATAGTCAGTTCTCTATTAGTAACTACTAAATCACTTTCTAACTAATACAATAAGATTTAAGGTTTTTCTATTTGGCTCTCAGTACCTTCTCCATGAATGCATTTCAAAGACTTGGCATTCAATAATTCATATAAGTTGCCTAACGTCTTCCTAGCAAGACTATAAGCTCCAAGAGAATAGAATCTTTTGCCTGCTTTGTTTGTGGTTATATCTCTAGGAACTAGCACAGTGCCTAGTATAAACTCAGAAGATATTTGTTTAATGAATAAATGAAACCAGTAAGATTGGGTACAGAGTTGGATAATATTAGGACATGGATTCAGTAGATGCTTTTTGCAACTTTACAATCCCATGTTAATTGCTGCCCCAACATGCTTGCTTCTAAGTTTAACATTCACTAGTCTAGGGAGAGTTTTCAGAGAGTTCACCCACGAGTAGTTCTGAAACTTAGCTCATGAACAATAAAAGACCTTTCTTTGGAAACTATCTAAGGAGTTACAGAATTACCGTGGTGGGATTGAAGATGGGAGGGTTATCGTTGACATCCGTGACCGTGATCATGGCTGTTGCTGTTGTGCTTAAGCCTTCACCTTGAAGGTCAGCAGCTTGAACCACCAGGGTATATGTGGGATAACTCTGCAAATAGATCAAACACACCCAAGTCAGGGCCAAGACCAACAGCCACCGCAGGCCCACCTCGCCCACCACATAGAACCAGAATGTATTATCATCTGCTTAAATGCCAGCCTGCCTGTATTCTAGGCACAGAATCTCTGGGCAGGTGTCTGGATGCAAAGTTCAGACCATCACCACCCTAACTGACAACTGGCCTCAGCAGACTTTTGCATTGTCCATGGGATTTAACTAATATAAATTGGTCTTCAACACCCTCTGGGTACTCCTGACCCCTGACCTCTCGGTCCAGCCCAGTGGTGACCACACTGATGACTCCGGTGTCCCGGTTGATGGTGAACATGTTGTTGTAAGGCAGCGTTGGCTCTTGGCTAAGGATGGTGTAAGCGATGGCAGCATTATAGGTGTTCACATCGTCGTCCGCGTCAGTGGCTGTGACCTGCATCACGGAGGTTCCTGGAAGAATCAAAGGAGGAGGATTTAGTCAGCCTGCACTTTGGGATCTGATTAATACTGTTCATCCCAAATCTGTCCTGAGTGATAAAGAAGGGGGCCTGGGGATGGTACCATGTCATGGTTCTCCCATTCTCTAATTTCTAAAATTCTTACCAAAGTGCTAGGGGAGGAAGAAAGCATTACACCAGATAAGCTGTGCTCAGAGAATTCCACTTTTCCAACACACATGTGGGGGGAGGGGGGTAGAGGAAAGGAGGAGTATAAGGAATAAATAACGTTAAACTAAAACATTTTGCTGTCTCTCTTATACTGAGTGAAAAGTGTGTAAAATAAGAAAAATTCCAGAATTTTCCTCAATTGGCTTCTCAGCCACAGCTTCACTGAAAAGAATGGTCACTTGAGATCATTGCCTTCATGGTGTAAGAACATACTTATAACACACGTGACTGACAAAGGACTAGTATCCAGAATAACTAAATGAGAATCAATTATGAAAAATATAAGTAGCCCAATGGGGGAAAAAAGGGCAAAAGACTTGAATATATAAGTCATAAAGAAGAAACTCAAATGGCCAAACAACATGTAAGAAGCTTAGCCCATTAGTCGTCATGGAAATGTAATTTTAAATTGCACTGAGATGCAACTACACACTCAACAGATTGGTAAAAGCTAAGAAGTCTAATAATATTACTGGTGGGAGTAAAAATTAGTTCACTACCTTGGAAAAGTTTGTTACCACTTAGTAAAGATGAACATATGCATATCCAACAAATGAGTGATCCACTCTTGTGGATATATACCTTAGAGAAATTCTTGCCTACTTACAACAGGAGACACATTTAAGAAATGTTCTGAGAGCACTATTTCGAATGGCAAAAGGCTGAAATAACCCCAATTTTCATCAACAATGGAATGGATAAATTGTTTTACATAAATATTAAAATACAAGGGAATACTATGCAGCAATGAAAATGAATGTTCTGCTGCTGTGGGCGGTCACACGCAAGAACCATAGGCACATAAAGTTGAATGAAAGAAGTGAGTCACAGAAATATACGTATAGTGTGATTCTGTGTACACAAAGCTTGAAAACAGGCAAAACTAACAAGTTATTATCTAGGGGTAAATACATACATGGTAAAAGATAAAGTAAAGCAAGGGAATGATTACCACAAAAGTCAGGGCAATGGTTTCCTAAGAGGAGAGAAAAAATGTGACCAGGGAGGGCTTATAGGGGTTCAAGACATGGGCAAGGATGTGTTTCTTAATCAGAAAGGTTGTTCTTAAACTGTTCTCATTTTATACATGTTTCTGTAGGTAGGATGTTACACACACACACACACACACACACACACACACACACACACACACACAACAGGCTTCCAAAGAAGTTCTGTCCATATGAAGGGATCAACCTCAGTGACCTGACCCCAACTCTAGCCCAAACACTTTAGGGTCCAAAGAATCTAAAGTCTTTCTGGGTAGGTCCGGGTCCATGGCTCACTTGGGAGAGTGTGGTGCTGATAACACCAAGGCCACGGGTTCGGATCCCTATATAGGGATGGCCGGTTAGCTCACTTGGGAGAGCATGGTGCTGACAACACCAAGTCAAGGGTTAAGATCCCCTTACCAGTAATCTTTTGGAAAAAAAAAAAAAAAAAAAGTCTTTCTGGGTATTCAGCTCCCCATTACTGGATGGACATACCTGGAAGAGCACCTTCCATGACAAACCCCTGAAAGACCTCCTGGGTGAACTCAGGCTTGTTGTCATTCTGATCTGTCACCGCGATCACAATTTCCATTGGGTCCTCGATTGCATTCCCATTTGATGACACAGCATGAGAGAAGAGCTAAAAGAGCCAAATGAAGGTTATGAAGAAGAGGTGGGAGCAGCAGTCTGGCTAGAGCAGGCTGGGCTCTACCTGGCCTCCACTCCTTCCCAGTCTGAGACCCCTAGCAGGGAACTTTTCTCACACATGTGCTACTGCTTCAATAAGATAGTGAAAAATTAAGACTCATGGGCTGGAGACCAAACCCACCAGATCAGACCTTCAATTTCCCACACGAGGACTGGGACCTCAGGCCTACAGATGAAAACACTGACTTACTCCAAGCAGGAGAAAATTTGCTCTGTCCACTCCATCTAGTGTTTCTCTCAAATCTTTCTGAATTTGCCATCAGTACACTTCCTCCCAGCTTCCCAAAGCTCATGCTGCTCTGAAGTCCCAGAAATTATTTTTGCTCCCCAATTTCATCTTTATCCTCTTCCTTTAGGTCAGGAACTTCCAGCCCCAAGAATAGGTTGACATTTTGTGTTTAAACTTGTGCATAGTGCATGAAGACTCTCCCTTTTTCCCTAACAAGAAAAAACTTAACAACCCTAAACTCTCCCAGGTTCTCCTGTTACTTTTCTTTTATCAACAGGTCAAGAGCTGTTGAGTTAAAGTCCTCACATGTCCACAGCATTTGATCTGGGGATCTAACATGGGTTGACCAAAAAAATCTGGATGGATGTAACCCCATCATCAACAAGCTTCTAAGAGGTACTCACGATGTACTTGGCAATCTGTTCTCTGTCCAGAGGCTCCGTCACCTTCAGCCATCCTGTTTCTCTTTCAATAATAAATACACCAACAGGGGGTGTGTCAGCTCCTTGGCCTGTGATGCTGTAGAAAACCTTGGTTTCTTTGTCCCTGTTGGATTTGATCTGAAGACAAAACGAAAAGAAACAGAACTGGTAAGGAAGTATCCCAACACTGGGTCCTTTCTCTTTCTCTCCTCAGTCCTTCTCTACCAAATTCCTCCCAAGAAATAGAGAATGTCCTTCTCTACCTGAACCAGATTTTTCGGAAATGGGCCCTTTTCATTTTCTGGGCAGCTGATGGGAGGGACAACCCAGTCTCTCTTCCGTCTTCTGAGACCATGGGAGGAGTCAGGAAATGTGAGCACTTCCATGTAGCTTCCAGGGAGAGGGTCCTAAAAGGTAAGGAGATAAGGAATGAAATGGGATCATTCAAGAGAGATACTACAGGTCTAACAGTCCAAACTATCCAGTCAGTGTCCCTGGCCTTCTGAGGGCAATATGTTTTAACTTCATGACACATTCTCATCAATGACAAATTATACATACCCTCCAAGACGAACAGCCAAAATGAAAACCAATGAACCCCTTTGCCTTATAATAAAAACTATGTTCTCTTTTGATTCTTCTTAGTGTCCAGAGTTGAAGTAATTATTATGCATACATGATTATAGGTTTGAGGGTTTTAAAGTTATTTCAAGCCTGAACAATATATGTCATTTGTAATAGCAACATTATATTCCGATAATTTAATCATTAGACTCAGATAATTTAGGTTATTCAACAACTGGACATTCAGGCATTTTCAGGTTCTTTTCTTTTACATTTTTCCTAGGGATATGGGTCCCTAAAGTGATCAGCCAAAACAAGTACATTTTGGGAATTGATACTAAGAACTATTCTGTGATCAATACAAATCTCTTAATCTCATTGTGTTACATTTTATCTACATGGTTTCCATTTGTTCTAACAGAAGCTGTTGGGATGAGAACCAAAAATACTCTTTGAGACTTGTATTGAACAGTTTTCATGGGCAATGAAGATAATTTAATGCACATGCAGGGAAATAAGAGAATTAAAGATGGAAGGAAAATATCTTCCAAATTATTTAAGTGTTTTAAAGTGATTAATGGTAACATAGAAGTTTCCAGAAGAAAATCTCATCTCCCACCTTCCACATAAAAATACTCACTCATAGTCATTGTTTGACTCAAGCCCTATCTCCTGGCCTTTTTCAGATTCAAGATGCACACGATAGTTACGAGATGTGACCAGGTATCATCATGGAACCCTTCCCCAGTCCTGCATACTGGCCACACGCACATGCACCCACACACACACAGCCGCACACCGCAGCCCTCATGTCCTTGAGTCTGTCTCCTAGAGAGACAGCCCAACCTGGGCCAAGGACAGGCTCTGGAGCTAGGCTGCCTGGCTTTGAATGCTCACAATGGCATCTCCTTGTCCAGAACAGATTACCTAACTTCTTTGTACTGCAGTTTTCTAATGTCTAAAATGGGGATAACCTTAGTACCTGCCTCACAGAGTTCTTGGAAGGATTAAATGAGGTACGAGTATTGCATATAAAGCACTTAGAAGAGTGCCTGAAACATAATAAGTACTCAATAAATGATGATGGTGAAGATGATGGTTGGACTAGTTGGAAAATACTGAGTTACGGTTTTATTGGCATTTAGCCCCAGCATAAGGACAAAGTACTCTAAGCCTTAAAATGGCCATCTTGTCCAACTGTGGTGAGCAAACAGGCATTGATGAAATGCTAACCCATTTGCCATATTGAAAAGGAAGGCAAAGAGCATGGCTTGCTGACATCGTGACTGCAATATTTTCAAAGAATGGTAATAAACTGTGATAGACACTGCGCTGGCAAAACAAAACATTAACATTTGCACATGCTGAAATTAAAGGGAATCATGCCTAAACATTAATGACCATGGAATTTATCTCTCAGAAAAATAAGACCCCAGACTGAGAAACCCACTTAAACAAAATGAAAGAACTAGAAAGTCAGATCTATTCTCATACAAATTAAAAAAGGTAAGACTGCCATCCCTTCTCTTAATACAGTACCACCTGGCTCCACAAGGGTCCCTTGAACTAGAGACAAACCAGAGTCTGCCACCTAACACCCAATATCCATTTTTCCTTCCTTATTAAAAACAAAATAAAATAGGCCGGCCCGTGGCTCACTTGGTAGAGTGCGGTGCTGATAACACCAAGGCCACGGGTTCGGATCCTATATAGGGATGGCCGGTTTGCTCACTAGCTGAGTGTGGTGCTGACAACACCAAGCCAAGGGTTGAGATCCCCTTACCGGTCATCTTTTAAAAAAATAAATAAATAAATAAAAGCATGTTATACAGACTAACTTTTTTGATCCTTACAACCACCCCATGAGACAGGTACTATTATTATCAACATTTTACAGAAGAGGAAACTAAAGCACAGAGACTGACAATCACTTGGTAGAGTGCGGTGCTGATAACACCAAGGCCACGGGTTCGGATCCTATATAGGGATGGCCGGTTTGCTCACTAGCTGAGTGTGGTGCTGACAACACCAAGCCAAGGGTTGAGATCCCCTTACCGGTCATTTTAAAAAAACAAACAAACAAACAAACAAAAAAACAAAATAAAATATCTCTCTCTAATATAGATCTCAGTTTTGTACCCAGCAATGTACCCAACTGTACTTCTTATACTACGCTTGCAGCTAGCTGTGACCATGAGGCAAAGTACTGGCCAATGAGATACGAGTACAAGTGTTGCTTAAGAACTCCACAAATGCTTCTTAAAAGGCAGGCAGACAACTAAGCAATACATTTTTGTGCTTCTTCCCTTTCTCCTTATCACCTAAAATAAAGATGTGATGACTGGAGCTCCAGCAGCTGTCTTAGATCATGAGGTATCCTTGAGGATGGAAGCCAAGTGCTAAGGATGGCAGAGGAGAGAGGAAAAGAGAAACCTAGGCTCCTGATGACTGTGGAGTCTCCATACTAGGCACAACTTACCTCTGGACTTCCTTAACTTGAAAGAGTATTTTGTATAAACCACTGTAATTTGGGCTTTTATATAATATGTACCTGAACCCAATCCTGATACAGCAGACATGAAGGAAGAAGCAAAGTTGGCAGAGGTGGGAAGGAAAAATTGAAGAACCAAGCTCAAAACTCTTGGTCCTAAAAGGCTTCCATGCACAGCTGCCCAGAAGGAACTCACTATGCTGAACTCAAATTCACATGAATGACAGAGTCAGTTGGAGACCTGAGTCAGGGAGCTAAGTTTATGCAGTTCTAGTAAGTTTCTATTTTTCTGGTCTGTCTAATTATACCAGGGAGGAAAATTAGATCTATCAAGAAGACTATTAAGTTCCAAGAATCTCAAGAGTCATGGGGGAGAAAAGCAGGAGCCAATTTTAAAGGTCTTGGCACTTACAGCACATACCATACTTCCAAGACAGTAAGCAGGATACAAGTAGAATATCCCTCCAGAGAGACATTTTGGTAGGAAGTGCCATGGGAGCAATGTAGAAACTGGCAAAGGCATTTGGTTTTAGATAACAACTCACAGAAACATTCCTGCCAAGAACCTAGGCAGACATCCTTCCATTCACAGCCAATCCACCTATCTGCTCATTCAATACTTGCTAGGCTCCTGGTATGTACCAGACCTAGTGTCTGGCACTGCAAATACAGTGGGGAAGGATCTTGTGGAGGTTACAGCTCAGTGGGGCAAAAGCTTCTACTGGTAACATGAAGAGCAAAATGATCAGAGAATTGACCTCTCATTCATTCTTCCTCTGGGAAGGGAGTGATAGGAACAGCTAACAATTACAGAGCACTTACTACATGCCTAGCACATTGCTAGCATTTCACATGTATTCATTCCTCACTATTACCTCCATTTTACAGATGAGGGATTTCAAGCACAGACAGGTTAAGTAACTCCTCCTAGATCACTCAGGTAAATGGCAGGGCTGGGGTTAATCCTTGTCCATGCCTTTCCCACTATTCTATACTACCTGATCCCAACAAGCCAAAAAACCCAGCAAGAATCAGTTTAGTTAGACCAAGAGTCTTCAAATGGGGCTGACCTGGCCCCCCAGGGGGTACTGGCAGTGTCTGGAGATATTTTTAGTTGTCACAACTGGCAGAGGTGCTACTGGCATCTCTTGGGTTAATGTCAGGGAGGCTGCTTAACATCCTATAGTACAGAGTACAATCCCCACAACTAAAACTATCCAGCCCGAAATGTCAGTGGTGCCAAGGCTAACAAACCTGGATTAGACAGCAGATAAAACAATAAATAGTGGACTTCTAAGAAATGCTCCAACGTACATGATGGTGGTGGTGGCTGCGGTGGTGCCCCACTGCCTCCAATGTAACTTTGGTGGAAAGCTTTCTGTGGGTGGAGTCCCAGGCGTGGACAAGAAAACTGGTCTCTGGATTATGAAGCTGTAGAGGCCGTCTGACTGTAACCACACCGTCTGTGCCCACTTTGAATCGGGAGTCATCAGAAAAATAGACTGTTCTTGGACGACCAGTGCATCCTTCAAAAGTCACTGCAGGGCAGAAATCACAGCAATTAGGAAATTGGGCAGATCCAAGGTGAGAACATTTCTTCCCCAAAGGGTGAATGAACTTGGTTGACCCACCAAAAGCCCAACCCACACAAAACAAGCACAAGCAAAATAAATCATAATCTGGGACAGAACAACAAAGCTAGGAAAGCAGTCAATATCATCATTATGTTCTTGACAATTACAGGGTGACTGTTCATTGTGCTCTCATTTTTTCCTCCTCTACTTGTCAAGTGAAAACAGATTCTTGTCTAGAAAATAACTTCTCTTTTTCAGTAATGACAAAAAAAGGGCCCTTCCTTCAGATGCCTCTTAGACCACACTAAAATAACTCAGGATATCTACTATGTCCAAAAGATGGAAGCCAAGGGGCTGGCCCGGTGGCGCACTGGATAAGTGCGCCGCTTGGGAAGCACGGTGGCGCTCCCGCCCGCGGGTTCGGATCCCACATACAGACCGGTTCCCGCTCACTGGCTGAGCGAGGTGCGGGAGCAACCCCGAGGGTTGCGGTCCCATTGCCGGTCCCCGGTCCAGTGCGGGGGCGACACTGAGGGTTGCGATCCATTGCTGGACACGGAAAAAAGACAAAAGACAAAAAAAAACAAAAGATGGAAGCCAAGGTACAGTGAGATGCTGTGGATAGTCTATATTTAAATAAACAGTTTACATTTAAACAAACAGTGGCAGATAATTAGAAAGAGCTGGCATGGCATAGTGGTTAAGAGCAGACTATGGACCAAACTCCTGGATTCAAGTCCCAGCTCTGCTATTTATTAGCTCTGTGACTTTGGACAAGTTATTTAATCTCTTTGTGCCTCAGCCTACCCATGTATAGAATGACGGTGATAATAATTACCTAATAGGGTTATTTTGAGGTATGTACAATAGTGCTTAGTACATAATAAATACTATATTAAAGTTTGTTAAATAAAAATTTAAGAGGTTGTCCAGTTAGCTCAGTTGGGTGGAGTGTGATGTTATAACACCAAGGCCAAGCATTCAGCTCCCTGTACTGGCCAGCTGCCCTAAAAATTAAAAAATAAAAAATATGTAAAAATTTAAAAACACAGCCTGGCTAGTTAGCTCACTTGGTTAGAGTGCGATGTTGATAACACCAAGGTCAAGCATTCGGGTTCTCATACTGGCCAGTCGCAAAAAAAATTAAAAAATTAAAAAATTAAAAAATTAAAAAACCCACAAATGTAGCTGATCATTGGTTGATCATTAATTCGGTCCCCATGAATACTCTACACAAGACACTGTTAATAGTCAGTATTCACTGAGTGCTGATTTTATGCTTATTTTCTGAGGCAAAGAGGAGAAACTGATCTCTGTCATTTGGGGGAGATAACGAAGATTTCATAGAAAAAAGTGTGATCCTGATCATATAGGGTGGAAAGACAAATGCAAAAGACAGAGAAGGACTACTTGAGTGGAGAAATGTTATGACCAATGGCAAACATACTTACAGCTTTATAGCTATTTAAAGTATTAAAACTTGCAAAAGTATTAATGATACAAGAGTGACAGAGAGGGAAAGAAGGGAATTTGGAGAAGGTGTAACATATATTGGATGCGGACTGCAGGCCTTTCTGAAGTGGAGGTATCTGAGCTGGGACCTGAAGGAGACAGCCCTGCAGAAACCTGGCTCAGGGAGAAATGGTCAACAAGATGATTCATTCTAGGAAACTCTCAATGAGGCCTGTTTTCTACCCTTTTAAATAATCGCCCCTCATCCCGCCCGTGGAATTTCTATTTCATACAAGTGCTCTTTTAGAAACACTCCTGCTGTTATGCCTACTTTACAAGGCTCGACACCTCAACATTTCATGAAAATCAGGTTTCTGCCAGAAAGCCCCAAACCCATCCGGGATGCCGGAGCTGCAGTTTTCATTTCTTCCACCAGGGGCCACCCTTGCAAACATTTCTGAGGCCAACAGCCTTGCCCTTGCCAGAGAAAATAGGGCCATGTTTGGGGGTGAGAGCATTGGTACCACCTACTATCTCCATTTTGAGGATGAAACTGAGGCTCAGAGAGGTTAAGAAATTTGCCTAACATCTGGTAACCAGGAAGTGGTAGAGCTGGGACAGGCCCTTAATGGAGTTAACCTCATCTCATGAGTGGTTCTTCCTCTCTCTGGAGAGACCCTATGAAGGCCTTGGCTATTTTTAAAGGAGTATTCTACCTCCAAACTAGGATTGCCAAAGATGGTAGAAATCTGAGGCCTACCAGTGCCCTCTAGGCTGGGTCTACAGCTCACTTCCCCAACTGCAGCTGCAGTAAGTGATGGGAAGACGAAGACAAGAAAAAAGGGCTGGTCTCAGAATGTGCAACTGAATTATAAGCCCAGATTCTGCCATGTTCTTGATGGGTGGTCCTAAGCATATTGCTTAACCTCTCTGGGCCTCTATTTTTTTCCATTGTAATATGAAAGCCAACTTGAGAATTTCCTAGAATGAACTGTCTTGTCCACAGTTCCTCCTTCAGCCAGGTTTCTGTGAGGCTGGCTCCTTCGGGTTCCAGCTCAGATGTCTCCACCTCAGAAAGGCCTGCTGTCCTAACCTCTTCAGGGTTTTGTGAAGATTAACCGAGACAGTAAATGTGATCACATTTTGTAAGCCAGAGCAATGCAAGTGGAAGAGATGATGATTATTTCTGTGCATTTGGGTAGACAAGCTAGAAGGCAAGTATTTGCTAAATGAACAAATGAGACATAAAATGACAACAGAAGAAGAAAGGCCAAGGCCTTAAAAGATGGGCAGATACGCTTTATGTCTCAAACAGGAATTTCTTTTCCAACTAGCAAAAACAAGATGCTTTTCAAAGAACTCTCCTCCACCCCCAGCAGAAGTAATGGGGTGACTGGGCTGTGTTCGGGGTTTGCCATGTAAGCAGGAACAACAGCTGCCCTGAATTCCTTTCCCAGCCTGTGCAGATTGGGCAGTGAACATTGAGACAAGCATGACTGGACTTGCCAGGGGTGGTGGCCTAAAAATATGAAAATGGCTCTGAAATAACTTGATGCAAGGCACTGAACCTGCTTGGGGCCACTCTTCTTAACAGTGGCCAAGTCCCACCCATTGAGAAGTGGCAGAATAAGTCTGACAGGGAACCCCAACCTGAATTTCCAGGTGCTCATTAAGACCCATTATCTTTCCGTGCAACCTGATCCTCCAGGCTGATAAATCGGAGATTACAAGAAAGACCAAGGGGATCTCCAGCTCCAGGAAGGCTCTGGGATGCTCCCTTTAGCCCTGGCAAGGCCTGGACTCTCTCCGGGACACAGAGAACTCTACTGCCAGCAGGTGAGAAGAAACAAGAATGGCAAGATGTTGGACCTACAAGGGCCAGTACATGGAGGTTGGCTATATTTCAACATTTCCATAATAAAAAGTTACAAAAATAAAGCCAGCAAGTGACTAGGTATTCTTTAACCTAGCATGCCCACGTTTCCTAAATTATTTGGTCACTGGTCTAGAAACCAAATCCCAATCACAAGAACCAAAATCCCACTGGCCAAATCTAAATGGGAAAATCTTTTCACTGCAATGTTTTTCCCCACACAATAATATCATCATCATCATCACCATCATCACCATTAAAAACAACAGGCTCAACTAATAGATTCACTTACTTTTGTCAGCTGTCCACTATTTCATTATTATTATTATTTATTTAATTGATTGATTAAACAATGACCGGTAAGGGGATCTTAACCCTTGACTTGGTGTTGTCAGCACCATGCTCTCCCAAGTGAGCCAACCGGCCATCCCTATATAGGGATCCAAACCTGTGGCCTTGGTGTTATCAGCACCACACTCTCTCAAGTGAGCCACAGGCCGGCCCTTTTATTAATATCTTAAACATGTGTAGAACATTGACTCATGTGCCGGGCTCTATGCTAAAGACTTTACAAATACTCCTTTAGTGGTTGGCCATTAAGGACTTTACAAATATTAACTCATATGATCCTAGAACTCTATGAGGTTGGTGTTCTTAGTGTCCCCTTTTTACAGATGGGTAAACTGAGGCAGCTAGTAAGGGGCAGATCGGGATTTGAACCCAGGTAGTCTGAGAGTTCATGCTCTTAACTATGCTTTGTGCCTATCTCTACAAGCCAGGTCCTTGCACCATGCTCTTTGTGTCCAATTTTCCGATTTAATCCCTGCCCACACCCTTTGGGTAGGCATCGTTATCCTCATTTTCTTTTCCCTAAATTACACACTGGTGGTTAGAGGGGCTGGGCTGTCTCACCCCAAAGTGACAGCTCTTCCCCGCTGTTCCTCATATGCAAAATGGGGATATGCTTAAGAAGGAATACTTGTTAAGAAAAAAAACAAAACTAACAACAGCAAGAAGACATTCCAGAACAGCATGAAATTCTATACACTAGGAGAATAATGGTAATTGGTGTAGAGGTACGGAAAAGATTGAAAGAAGTGGGGTTGGGATAGAGGTAGGAGGCAGTTTAATTAAAAAAAAAAAAAAAAGCAAATACTTTTTCCTTATACATCTTTGTTTATTACCTGTTATAATCAGCATGAACTATTCTTCTTAAATGACAAAAACTAGTAGGAATGACTTTTTAAAAGTGTCTTGAACACACTGTGGCTCTTGCATGTTGCTATTCATCCTACAGTACCCCATTTTCTAGCCTGTTTGGCACAAGTAGTAGCTTTCAACAGAAGATACTGGAAGAGATGCCTGAAGTTCAAATACAAATTAAACCCAAGTCCATGAAAAGCTTTTGTTCCTGCTCTGCAACATTCCTTGCTTGGAATTGCCATTGTGCCATTGACCAGTTCTACTTTAAGGGTCCCATTTCTTCTCCCACCCCCACTCAGCCCCATAACTGGAATGTGAGTAGGTAGGAACAAGACAGTCTCAAGGGCCTGCTATCAAAGGCAGCTCACCGTAGTTGAGTTATCTAGTAACCAGCAGGATAACCCAGTCTCTTAGAAGCAACTACTTACTTGAAAGT